GTTTGTAAGGAAGCTTGTAAATTAACTAATTTCTCTGTCCAATGCTGTCACGTCACGTGACAAAAGAACGAATGATTGGAAAGACTCGAGAGATGAACGAATCAATTCTGTTTCCGGCTCAGACTGCATTGGTTAAGTTTATGGGCTGTCACGTGATGAACGACTCAAACCCGAAGACTTGTCAGATAAGAGGTGAGGTGAGCTAATCATAGACTGAAGACCTAGGTAAACAATGAATTAATCTTTTCTGTTTCTTATTGCAGTTTTGTATTGTTTGTAGTGTGATCAACGTTTGCGTAAGTAGTAGACGTGTTAGGGAAGTAACACGTAACATTTTAATTATATTTTGCTAAAATGAACGAAATGACTCGAAAAAAGATTCATTCATTTTGCTGAACGAGACTCAAAGGTCCGAGTCGGTAAAATGATCCGAACTTCCCATCACTAAACGGCATCAAATGTCTGTTTTGTTTTGTTGGCGTTCGGCGCCCAAGTGCTCGTCACTCTTTAGCTCCGCCCACGGCGTGCCCCCAGGAGCTCAGCTTTTAATCGTAAAGCTGTATTTTCTTTTATAAATATGATCAAACTAAAGACTTTTTGGAGATATGAAGGATGCAGTACTACTCTATAGGTACTCAAGATTAACATGAGATTGGGTGAAACTGTGTGTTATGCCCCCTTTAAAAATGTTTAGATATTTGTATTGGGAAACAAAACAAACATATTGTGGAAGATAGTCGTTTTGCACTGCATGCAACATTTAATGTCATGACTTTATGAAAATAAGGCTTTCTGCTTTAATTTAAGACCTTTTTAGCCCTCAATTTATGAAAAGGTGAATCAAGACTTTTTAATTTCCCTTACACTGGAAGGTTTTCCTGCGTAGTTTCACTTTTTTACTGTTAGTGTGGACAGAAAAACTACTTGACGAATGCAATGCAATGGCAATACATTCCTGTTTGTTTTCACACATTCACCCTGGTAATCAAACGCCTGTCACCGATGCTCTCCATGGACATTAAGCTAAAAAGAACTCGATTTGATCTTTTCCAGTGACTTCTTTTCCCCGTGTTGGATCAGATGTGTCATGGAGCTGCTGGATTTCCTCCTGGAGCTGCAGGTTTTGTGAGGACAGATGAACCGCGTCCTGAATGGCGTCTAACAGCAGATTCCTGTACCTTCTCTCAGACATCTGCCTCTGTTCCTCCAGAACCTCACGAAATGCCCTGAACACCTACAAACACAACCAGCACAAAAACCACTAGATGACAGTATAATGATAAATTAAAGGAAATGCAGCTCCTGTACATAACTACATATAACTATATTTTTCATCAGGGGTTCTCAGCTCTGGCCCTTGAGGTCCACTTTCCTGGAGTTTAGCTCGAACTCGAATCAAACACACCTGAACAACCTAATCGAGGTCTTTAGGATTACTAGAAAGTTCTTTATATTACAATGAAGGCTTATATGAGGAACATTATGATTTCTTATTAATATGATGCATGAGGAACAGATTGAAACTGATGTCGGTTTTCAATTAGGAATGTTTACGTAATTGTCGTCAATCCGAATGAATCCAATCTGGTTTCAGATTATGAAAGTTTGTGAGCCCTAAACTTATTTGCAATCCTTTTCACGTCTTAGCATAAATATGTCGTCAAAGTTCAGAACTGGAAAAAGACACCGCTATAATGATTAGTTTAGTTTATTTATATAGCACATTTAACAACAGCCCACCAAAGTGCCTCACAGGCAGGTAAATTGTAAAAAAAATGTAAACATAAATTTTAGCAAATATTTCTTAAATATTCAGTCAAATTTTTATGAAATACATTTGTAGTTATTTATTTATTTAGATTTTATATATATATATATATATATATATATATTCAGTTTTCATTTTAATTTTAGTAATTGTGCATTATCATTTTTATTAGTTTTTTTAACGTTTTCATTTAGATTTATTTTTCAGTTTAATTTAATATTTTGTTAATATATCTGATAATTCTGTACACTTTGATATGCCTGTTTTTGTTTAGATGTTTTTTTTATTTATTCTCTTGAGTCCATATTTTTTCTGTTCTTGTATTTATTTTTATTTATATAGTTGTTTTAATTATATTTAATTGTTTTCCTTTTTTCATTCTCGCTTTCTAATTTAATGTTGTGTCCAAAACAAAGTCCTTGTTATAAAATAAAGGCTCTTTGTCAGCATCGATGGAAGAACCAACCATGGAATATTTCTATTGATCAAAAGGATCTTTATAGCTGAAAAAAGTTCTTCAGATTCATAAAATGTTCTTCACACTAAGAATTCTTTGAGGAACCAAAGATGGTTTTCTATGGCATCTCCCCTATGGAACCTTTATTTTTTTAGCTGACTAATTTGAATACCTTCTTGTTATATTTTTGCTTCTCCTAATTTCTCCTAAAAAACATCCTAAATGCTGACTCGGTGTTGTTCCTCAGTAGATGTTCACCTGCAGACTCTCTTCTCTGAGGGTGTTGATCTCCTGCTGGTGTTGTCTGCTCTGGGTCTCCAGGTCTGCATACGCCTGCTGGTTCTCCCTGCGCAGTGCCTCGATCTGAAGAACCAGGATGTGTCTCTCTCTGCGCAGGTACGACATCTCGCCCTCCACACCACCCATCTGCAGATGGGACAGAGTCAGTCACATGATCAGAACAGCCTGTTTGAACTCTACTTATTTAACTCAACCAGAACTCACCTGAACACCACAATAATAACTGTTACAGGTCTAAAACACTGACAACAGTTTATAAACTACATTTTATAAACGGATTGACCAATCAGAAGCCAGGACTGGAAATATCTGTTTTATTAAAAGGGTCATGAACTGAGAAATCAAAATTCCCTTGATTTTTTGACATATACTGTAAGTGCTCATTGTTTCAGAACTCAAAACTTTCTCGTTAGTCTAAAAACAGCTTATATTGAAGCCAGTCTGCCAAAACAACAGCTTGTGGAATCAGTGTGCCACTCTATGATGCAATAGTGTGGATAAACACCGCCTCCGCAGAAGAAGATCAACGCCTGCTTCTACATCACTGCCTGTTTAGCCCCGCCCACCAATTCTACATCACTGTTTGTTTATTTAAAGAGCGGCAAACCCAGGTCTACACAGAAACCAAACAATAAACTTTATTTGATGAACTTTATTTTTAATGAAGTTTCAGACTGCATCAGTAAGAACTTGGTCCTTTGTTCACTGTTATTACAGATCATTTGATATTTACTGTATTCAAGTGTTTTTAAC